ACTGTTTTATGTTTGTTCAGGGGAGAATGAAGAGGATCCTTTGATTCTTATGAGTCCAGTGAAGTGGTGAAGAGTACGGTGACCTTAAAGGTCTATAAGAACTCGGTTTTTTGGTGGTCAGCGATTCGAACTTCTTCAGAGGTGGCTGCCTCAGAGTCTGATCGTAGGACGTCTTTTGAGTCTAGATGCAGTTTGTTGAAAGATAGGTGGTGAATTTGGAGCTATTGGTAGTTGTAACTTTTGATTCAGTTGGTATTTTAATATTAGTCTAGTTTCCTTTAAAAATAGATTGAATCCTTAGTCCTAACTAACGATGAGCAATTCAGTTTACGGTTCAGTTTTTTTCGGTTTTGGTTTATTCAGTATGGGAGATGTTGTACCAGACTAAAACCATTTGTATTTCAGTTTGGTTTTGGTTTGAATTTTGGTTTTACCAAAGTGAAAATTATTAGGTTCAATTTAGTTCGATTTGATTTGGTTTCTTATTTTTACTCCCTTCTTCCCTAAATGTTGTTCCGTTTTACAAATGACACGTGGATTAAGAAAGTGAGTTTTGTGTGGTGGAAAGTTGTGTAGAGGAGAGAGAAGTGTTTAAGAATGTGTAAGAATTGATGTGAACCACAAATTATTTGCCAAAAAGGGAAATTGAAGTTCTTTTTTGGATGAATGAAAAGGGAAAGTTGGAAGTTCTTTTAGGGACGGAGGGAGTATTATTTTGTTTGATCAAGTTCTATATTTTAGAAATAGAAAATGAAAATAGTAGTCCGTCTGATCTTCTTGTATTTATTATTTAAATAAAATGTAAAAGGAAATAAAAGATAGAAAAAGAAATAATAAAATATTTTAAATTAACACCTAATTTATCTTACTAAGACTGATGACATTAAAACTTCTAACATCTATTCGATCACTAGAAAAAAGATCCGCTTCTCACAAAAAGTAAATTTATAGTTGATTATCATTTATATTATCATATAAAATATTTAAAGAAAACCAAATGAGTAGGTGGTACAAATGTTGTAATATTCACAATTTTATTCAAATGAATCATGCAAAAAATATAAATGCAATTTGCTATTGTTATGGTCAAACATCTTTTTATACATGTAAACTACAAAACATAGCAAATACAAATATGTCGTAATACAATTAAGTTGTTCAGTGTTGGATTTGGTTTACGAGTCCACTACAAGAAAATTGACTTTTTGTGACCAATAATTTGCGACCCACGTCTAATATGATCGCAACACATATACTAATAGGGACCGCATTTTATTTGGTTACAAATGCATTAATTTTTCTGGCACCGTTCAAGTATCCGTTCACTACTTCCCTAAAAACTTTGTTTTTGTTTTTATTTTAACCAAAAATTTGAAAAAGTATTTCCTCCGTTCCTATTAAAACTTTCAACTTTCCTTTTTCGTCCGTTCCAATTAAAATTTCCATTTTCCCTTTTTAGTAAAGAATTTGTAGTTCACAACATTTCTTACACATTTCTCTCTCCTCTGCACAACTCCCCACCACATAATATCCACTATCTTAAATTGTGTTGACACACAATTTGAAAGATAAAATAGGAACGGAGGGAGTAACACGTAAATTTCTTCTCTTCCGGAGAAAACCCCTTCGTACAACATCCCTACTCATCTATGGACAAAGAACTAAATCTCAGCCTCTGCACTCAAACGGAAGTCTCAAACCAAGCCATCCATTTGAACAATTTGTTAGCAAACAGTTTACTTAAATAAATTTAAGACAAGTCTATCAAATAAGTCCTTGAACTTTCATAAAAAGTGCAAATAAACCCTTTTATAGGAAGTTCTGTCTGGCCGTCGCCATTAGGGGCGGTTTGCGGTGGAGTTATTTGATGAAACTTTTTGAGCATCTTCTTCATTAAGTCTAGTTTACTCATACCAAATTTCAGCTAAACATTCAATCAAGAAGGCAGTCAAATGAATTTTTGAAGATAACTGCACAGTTAGGCAGTGCAATATATTTCAGAAAATCATTTGACTGCCTTCTCGACTGAATTTTTTTAGCTCAAAAAAAATCATCAAAAAAGTCCACCGGAAACCGTCTCAAATGACGACAGCCGAACAAAACCTCTTGTAAAAGAACTTATTTACACTTTTTATGAAAGTTCGAGGACTTATTTGATAGTTCTCCCTAAACTTAAACCATATCAAACTACCGATTTGAGGTTTGATTGGATTCAATATGATAAAACCAAACCACTTTGCCGAGTTCTAATCCTAACTACCAGACCAAATTTGTGTACGGACTGAAAGAAATCAAATGCTAGGTCTAATAAAAGGAGAACAATGGATTTAATTGAGGGCCCGGTCTAGAGAGAAAAAAAACAGCTTATTATTTGAGCTTCAAGGCAGCATAGAAAAACACCACACGTAAAAAAAACACAACACATAAAACTCTGAGCCCGTTTGGCAGCACGAAAATCGGCTGTTCTGGCTGATTCTGCTGAAATTTATAAAGTTCTGGCTGAAGTGGTTGAAGTGGCTGCATTGGCTAATTCTGCTGATACAAGAAAAAAATATTTTTAAAATATATTTTATTAATAAAATAAAGAAAAAAATATATGTAAAAATTGCTAAAATGGTCATCTACAGTAACTTCAGCCAATACAGCCAGAAAAGTAACTCCAACCTTACTTTTTCGGCTTATTACACAATTCAGTGCGCGAAAGCAAAATTTACGTGTTTGGTAAAAAAGTTGGCTGATAAGCCGAAAATAAGGGTTGCCAAACAGCCTCTCTATCTCCTGTCGCACACCACATATTTCACAACACATTCAGATGCAAGTGACATTTTTCAAATTTATTTTGAAAAATAATTTTCACCCTCCAAAAAATATTTTGAAACCTCCAAAATGAATTTTCTGGGTTTGCCCCTACCCTTAGATTGCCTGCTGCTATCAAAACTTTGTTGTTAGACTGTTGGTTGACGCCGCTGCGAACACCACTGATAGATGTCTGGCTAGCTATGCATAGGAATTAAGGACAATTAATTATAATTATAGTAGGAGTAGAAAAAAATACTTAACTCTGTCTCAAAATAGTTAGCCAAATCTTAAAATTTGGACAATTGTTTTGATTAGAATAATATTATGAAAGTTATATTTCATAATTTTTATACTTTTATGAAAGCACTTTAACAAAGAACATTTTTATATCGTATTATAAATAATTTTTAATAAATTCCTAATTTATATTTTGATCAAAGTTTTGGATCAGGAACGAAGGTAGTACCATACTTGCTACTACATATTTTGGGACGAATGTATGTACCATACAAGTTTTTTGCATCTATATTCCCAAAATAACCAAAAATATTTAGTCAAATTTACGATTGAAAAAGTTGTGAAGTACTCCCTCCGTTTTCTTTTAATTACAACAATCAACATTTCAGTTTATCAATGCACAAGTTTGCACATTAATATCTTTCATTCCTTATTAGTAAAAAAAATTAAAAAATTCATATTTTGAAAATTTGGAATTAGAAGAATTTAACAATATTTTTTAAAAATTTAATTTATACTACCTCCGTCCCAAAAAATACTTTCCGGGTTGACTTAACACACTTATTAAGAATGTGGAATAAAATGGAAATGTATGGTTGTAGTTGTTTAAGAAAAAGGTAAAATGAATGTGAGTCACACAAATTGTCCAAAAAGAGAAATTGAGAAATATTTTTTGGAACGACCCAAAAAGGAAAGTGAGAAGTATTTTTTGGGACTGAGGAAGTAATATATTACTCTCTCCGTCCCGAAATTATCTTCATACTATGCTTTTCAGTCCGTCCCAAATTTATCTCCTCTTTCCTTTTTTGTCAAAGAATTTGTGAGATTCACAATCATTCTTAGATAGTAATTAATACTCTGTAAAATATAATCAGAGTAGAATATATGAATAATGCAAAAAATCTGATATTACAATTAAAAGAGAGATGAGATTATTTACTCAGTGGCCGTTTGGAGGACCAAAAACTGGCTGAAAAGCCTGAAAATGCAAAAAATATGCCAAACACTCGTTAAATGGGCTGGTATGGCTGATTTTTATTTTCAGCTAAAAAAACAAGCCAAAACTTACTTTTCCTGCTGAAATTTATTATTGTACTGTTAGGTGAATGTAATTACTAGTCTATCCTTCGTTTGTTAGGAATCGGTGGGTTTTTAATGTTTGGCATTGATATTTTTTATTTTACAAATTGATGTACGTAGTACGGAGTATGTGATTACTACATTCAAAGTTTATCAATTTATTACTCTCTCCGTCCCATAAAATTCTTTCCACTTTCCTTTTTGAGCCGTCCCAAAAAATTCTTTCCACTTATCATTTTTGGACAATTTGTGTGGTTCACATTTATTTCACCTTTTTCTTACATAACCACAACCATACATTTTCACTTTCTTAATCTCCGTGCCAAATCAAAGTGGGAAGAATTTTATGGGACGAAGGTAGTATGACACATTAACGGATTAACCCACTAATATTGTTCTTCCTTTGTTGATACGATATACGAGTAATAATTAATATATCCTTCCTAAGTCTATCCTTTGATTTTAAATATTTCACCAAAGTAACTCTTTCATTCGAACTAATAATTAGTTCTAAGAGCAATTATTTAATGAGTTAGTTCTAAAGTAATCAGTTAATTAATTAAGTAACTAATCAGTTATAATAACCTAATCATGCAAAAATAATTTGCTAGCTAAGTTCCTATATTTAACACAAATAAGCTAATACCCTTTATGGTAATTTTACCTTCAATTAGTTATTTCAACCTAACATGTTACCAAACATTTTCACTTCAGCGGATTCAGATTTTTCAGTCATTCCAGCAGTTCCGGCCGTTACCAAACAGACCCTCAGTTTGCAGCTGCAGAAATCGTGTTTTACTCCTTAGTAAAACGCCGGCAAAAAAATCGAATTTACTCCATTGACTCCGGACAATTACTTTTTATTGTTAGTAGACAACATTCATTGACCACGAATGTCCATCTTCTCTACTCTCTCTAAACACTATAAAAATCTGCTATTCGAAAGCTTCGCCATCAGTTTGAAGCTGCTCATAGTCTCTGTAATTCCTCGGACGAATCTGAAAATTGGAGCCACTCTAGACTAGCTCCAACTCTTTTTCCTTGCTGGTATGCATTTCTTTTTAATGTAATTTCTCTTCGTGCTTTGGTATACATACATTTTCATTTCCAAACCTCTACTGGATTTCTCTAAAACTCTACAAACTTCTTGTTTTTTCATGCAGATCTGAATCATTTTTACTTTGTTCTTACTTTATAATTTTATGCAATATTCACTGCATAATCTCATATTTCTAAATAAACACTTCTAATTTACTTCCTGTAAATGCCAATATCTTTAAACTAGAACACAATGATGACATCAAACTGCAAAATTGTGCCAACTCTTATTTTGCTACTCCGTATTAAAACATGACGTTTGCATTGCTCAGTTTCCTGTGTTTTTTGTGCAACATAGCTTACATTAAAGTCTACAAAATTTTAAGGTTTCAGCGCTTTAGGAAATCTGGAGAAAGTTTTATTTTGATGTTGTAGCATAAAAAGTAAAAAGGAAGTTGGATCTCAATCTTGTATTTAGCAGAATGGATAAGATTTGTGCATCTAGATTCCCACCCACACGGCCCAATTGTATACTCCCTCCGTCCGGATAGTCTCGTTTCTTTTTGTCACAAGTTTTAATAAAGTGGTTGAAAAGATAAAAGTTGTGTTTGAGATTTGAGTAAAAATAAAGTGAAATGATATGGACCACATCTTTCTTTCCAAATAGGGAAACAGTACCATCATTTTGGGACATCCCAAAAAGGAAATACAGGTTGTTGCTTCCAGCTTTCCAAATCAAAGTGTAGCATTTGGGTGGGTGGGTGGGTAGGCGTCATCAGTTACGACATTTGGGTGACTTTTACAAATTGATTTGCAATATACTCTCCTTAAAGTCAACTAACTATAAAGTTAAATCATTCGGCACTTAAAAAATAAAAACCATATTGAAAAGTGAAAACTTTATAAAGTCACAAGATCCAAATTAGAATATACTCTCTTCTTTTCATAAAATTTGGCCAATGTTGACTTGCACGTGTATTAATAAAGTAAAAATTACGTGGTTGATATTTGTGCAGAGAAGAGAGAAATAACTTTAGCCACATTACTTTAAAGAGAAGTGCCAAAGTTTTTTTTAGGACGACCAAAAAAGGAAAGTTGACCAAGTTTTTTGCGACGGAGGTAATATTAGGGAAATGTACTTAAATATGAGTAAATATATTCTTAATTGTCAAAACAGGAATAAAGTTTAAAAATTCCATAAATAAAAGTTATTATTTGTAGTTCGACAGATTGCCACAGGCAGAACGCCAGATTGCTGCATGCAGTTGGTCTCCAGCCACCGTCGCAGATGTGCACGCTGCTGCAGATCTAGCCGTCGCTACTGCAAACCTGGCCACCACCGCTATAGATCTAGCCAGATATAGCCTCCACCGGCCACCGCTGTAGATCCGATTGACGCCGATGTAGATCCGGATCGCTGCCACAAATCGCTGCCAACTCCGCTGGTGCCTCCATTGTTGGACTTTCGACCACCACTGGACTGATCCCGCCACCAACGGATTGTCCTATTTAGGGGAAGGGAAAAAAATACCTACTCCTATTTTGGAATATAAACAACAATTTAGTCCTATTTAGGGTAATAATCCGAATGTATTACTTCCATCCCATTGGACATTGTCAAGATTGTGTTAGGTGTGAAGTAAGAAAAGTAAACATTGTGAGGTTGAGAGTTGTGCATAGGAGATAGAAAAAGGCAAAACCACAAATTAGTCACTCAAGGGGAAGTAGCAAAATTTTGGCACAAACCAAAAAAAGAAGTTGACAAATAGTAGGCTGTATTGATAAAATATTAATACAGTCTGAGAGAGTAATAAAAGATTGGGAAAAGTACAGAAAATGTTCTTGTGGTTGGGCCCATTTTCAGATAGGGTCATGTGTTTCATATTTTATCAAAGTGGTTCACGTGTTTGAATTCCATTATCATAAGAGGGTCACATCGTTAAACACGTCTGAGAAAGTCGGTTAATAGTAACACCGATTTCCAAAATTGCCCAGAAAATTAAAAGAAAAATACCGGAAGGTGCGCATCAACAAGACGATCGCTAGGCCATCTTTCTTTTTTTGTTTAGAGCCACCATTGTCACCGGAAAGTCCACCGGAAAAGTTACATTAACGAATTCATTTTTAAAAAATAATCCAAACAGATCCGAAAAATGAAAAGGCAAAGGTGGTTTGGAAGTCATCTTGATGAGGCGCACCTTCCAGTATTTTTCCTTTAATTTTCAAGACACTTTTGGAAATCGGTGTTACTATTACTGTCTCCTCACACGTTTTTAACGGCATGACCCTCTTGTGATAACGGAATTCAAACACGTGAACCATTTTGACGAGAAATGAAACACATGACCATATATGAAAATGAGCCCAACCACAACTATCTTTTTTGTACTTTTCCCTAAAAGATTAATATTCTGAATAAGTAAATACAACCAAACTGTGTTGATAAAAAAAAGTAGGCTGTGCAAAGCATTTTTGGGAGAGAGTAAGAAACAGTGATGCAGAGCTGTCTTCAAACAGTGATGCAGTGTCTTCCCTGAGTGTCTTCAAACAGTGATGCAGTGTCTTCAATGAGAGTATTTGACATTTTCCAATATTCCAAGCTTTTCTGTAAATCTTAATTTATGCATTCATTAAAATCTTGAATTTTCTAATGTGCTTCTACTTTCAAAGGTAGCTCTTAAGCAATGTCAATGAGACATTTTATCTTCATCTATTTTTTTGTCTTGTTTTATTGTGGACTAACTTAGCATTAATTTGTGTTCTACTCATGAAGGAACTAACTACATATTGATTGAAGAGGAAAAAATGAAGGAAAAGATGAGGTTCTTGATTGGGATGGTTCTGATGTGCTCCTGGGTGGTGATAACCCATGCAGATAGTATGCTCTACAAAAATCCTAGTAAGCCGCTGGGTGTACGAATCAAGGACCTGATGAAGAGGATGACTTTGGAGGAAAAAATTGGCCAAATGGTTCAGATTGAAAGACAAGTCGCTTCTTATGAAGTCATGAAGAGATACTATATAGGTGAGCGGGTTTTGTTTTTTCTGTAGAAAAAAGTAAATAAAGAATATATTATTTTTGTATTAGATCTGATAACCAGATATGATATAGTGCAGGTAGTCTGTTGAGTGGAGGTGGGAGTGTACCAAGGAATGAGGCGCCTGCACAGGCTTGGGTGGACATGGTGAATGATTTCCAGAAGGGGTCTATGTCGACCCGGCTCGGGATTCCTATGATCTATGGAATTGATGCAATTCATGGTCAAAACAACGTCTACAATGCTACCATTTTCCCTCATAACATTGGTCTTGGAGCTACTAGGCAAGTTGATGTCAACTTGTATATATCTATCGATTGCACAATTGAGCTTACTTGTATCTAATACTACCTTAAGATTTTATTATCATCTAGAACCTTATATACTAGTATCTTTTGTATTCTAGCCAGTGTGGGACAACCTAACATATTTACATATCCCACAATCTATATTTTCTTAATATGTATGAGGAGATATCTTAATGTGTATTGTATGATTTTCACCTCTTAAGAACTCTTTTGTTAACCATAATTTGTCCCCAATTAAGCGTTATACCTCTCTTAATTAATGTATTGATTCTTGTTCAGTTTTAAATTATGTTTGCACTGAATGTTGAATGTGTAGGGATCCTCAACTGGTCAAGAAGATAGGAGCTGCAACTGCTCTTGAAGTAAGGGCCACTGGGATTCAATATGCGTTTGCACCATGCATTGCGGTAAATAAGTTCGTTCAACCTAAACACGTTTCAAAGAAATCTCTGTGGGATGTTATGCTCTAAATAGTAAATCATTGGATGATAATGACGTGCCTAGGTATGTAGAGATCCAAGATGGGGTAGGTGCTACGAGAGTTACAGTGAGGATCCGGAGGTAGTCCGGTCTATGACTGAGATCATCTCTGGACTACAAGGGGAAGCACCGCCTAATTCCCTCGGAGTCCCATACGTTGCTGGAAAGTAAGTTGAGCATGTGAAGTTATTGTTTATCTGTGATTTCAGAAGTATTTTTAAATTATAATATCGGTTATTCCAAATATCTAGGAATAATCTGCTTAACTGCTTTAGATATACATGCTTCATGTTTGAGTCTATTAGACTAAGAACTTAACCCCTTCATTGATTTCCCAACTTTGTTTTTCGGAAAGAATAAAAACGCCATGATTAATATCATGTATAAGGTTTTAAGCTTCTTTCACAATTTGGTTAAGGAAAGTTTAAAAACAAGCACACAAAATTTAAGAATAGTTTGCTCCAATAAGCTACTATCCTGTGGGTAGATGTTAATGAATCATAAATTCAAGAATAACCTACTCCGATGAGCCAGCTTTTGTGAAGACGTTATTTATTAATTCATTGCATACCATACAAATTTAAAAGTACAAGTTATAACTTCATACATTCTGCAATATAAAGAAATGTTTTGATTTGACCTTTATATTTCTACAGAGAAAAAGTTGCAGCTTGTGCCAAGCACTATGTAGGTGATGGTGGCACTGTGAAGGGCATAGATGAGAACAACACAGTGATAAGCAGGCATGGCCTCCTTAGTATACATATGGGAGCCTATTACAATTCAATCATCAAGGGCGTGTCCACTGTCATGGTTTCCTATTCAAGCTGGAACGGCGTGAAGATGCATGCTAACCGTGATTTAATCACTGGGTATCTCAAGGGAAGACTACGTTTCAGAGTAAACCCCAACTTTTGTTGAATTTGTAAACGTGCCATATGTGCATTTTCAAATATTGATAAAAATGTGCGGTTTTACATTGTCAGGGATTTGTTATCTCAGACTATATGGGTATCGATGTGATTACTCCTACCAGGCATGAGAACTATACATACTCCATTCTCCACTCTGTCAATGCTGGAATTGATATGGTTAGTCAGAAAATCAAACCCACCGTCTTATAAGTGAAAAGAGTAACGAGATTTAAAAGCTTTGTTAGTAATGCATAATCTTTAAAGTTAAGCCCCGGTTCTAAACACAATAAGTAGTTTTTATCTAATTGCAGTTATTTGGCTGATATGAATGTTACAAACAAAAAAGGGCTGCACAAAGCAGTTATTAAATGTTTTTTCTTTTAGAAATGTAGCAGATTCAGCCATATCAACCCAAGAACACCAAGTGCCCATTTGCTTGTGAGCATGAATGGGCTGAAATGACTGGAATTATTTCAGCACAGATCACCAAACTCTTCTTAATTCAACCAATTCAGTTGATTCAGCTATTCTTGTCATTTCAACAGCCACCAAATGGAACTAGTTTACTAACCATGTGGTTTCTTAATTTTTTTTTGGCAAATATTGCAGGTTATGGTTCCAAACAACTATACAGAATTCATTGATGGACTTACTTTTCTGGTGAAGAATAACTTTGTGCCGATGAGCCGAATTGATGATGCGGTTGCGAGAATTCTTAGAGTGAAGTTTATAATGGGTCTCTTTGAGAATCCCTGGGCCGACTATAGCTTGGTGAATTATCTTGGGTGTAAGGTAATGTCTCTGTTTCTTTTTCATTGGTGCAAATGTGGAGTCTCTCTGCCCTTGTGTTGTGAATTTCCATGTTCAAATCCTTTTAGATTTAAATAAGCTAGCCAACTACACATAAGCGCCCAAATGTGCCTTTCCAGTTTCTGAGTTACACCCTCAGCAATTAGGTTAGGCATTCGATTTCTTAAGAGCATGGTTTGCATCTAGTGCAAAAAGAATGAAAGAGATCATTTCAGATTTATGCTTACTTTGGAATTAATCGGTGCGTAAAAGTAAATAACTGTTGCAAAACTAGTTTATTAATTAATACTAAGATCCCTATGTAACCGTTACAAGAGCATAAAATAATAATAGGAATCATAAAACTAAAGGCTGATTAGTTAACTAGTAACTTACTAAAACAAATATTAATAAGAGAAAAAAGTAGCTCCATATGTCGCACTAAATTGTTGTGATTTATATTATTTCTCTCTGCGTGGACCTCAACCTCAAATTCTTTACTTTTTTTATCTCAAGTTACAGTCAAAGTTGGTCAAATTATAAGGGACAAAAAGTATAGTATTACTAAAAACAATGCTTGTAAGAATACTATTACAAAGACTCAGTCCATGATCCATTCCATAATCTTCTTGACATTTCTTTTGTGCGACTCTATCATGACGTACACATCTATCACTATTGTGGTGGTATGTCAATAATTTCACACATTGTTAGGGAGCTTTGGCACTGCAGACACCCATTTTGTTGTTCTCATGTAATTAGAGTTAAGTTAATTCTTCTGGGTGTTTAATAGTGACTTAGCAAGCATACTTACTTTGGTGTAGGAGCACAGAGAGCTGGCAAGGGAAGCTGTGAGGAAATCTCTTGTTCTCTTGAAGAACGGTGCAAATGGAGATGAGCCAGTTTTACCTCTTCCAAAGAAGAGATCAAGTATATTGGTTGCAGGAACTCATGCAGACGATATTGGCTATCAGTGTGGTGGGTGGACAATAACATGGCAAGGAGTTCCTGGCAACAGTACTGTAGGTATGTATGTTAGTTAGATGGTTCATGCTATTTCCCTGTTGGCTACATTTCAACAGAAAAAATGACAAAAACCTATGAAAACAAAACACACGAATAGAATTACAAAATGTTTAGGAACATGCCCCTGTCCAATAGTATGTTTTGCTACCCTTTGAAGTTTGAATGCAAGTATAGTAACTTTTGTTTTAGGTCCTTGTAAAATTAGTTTGTGTTATTCATTCATTTAACTTACGGTGTTTTCTCATTAGAGCCTTTTCGCCAACCTCTAATTTGGCTTTGTGTTGGACGGAGTCAACCATTCCACTTAAACTTTTTATAATTCATTGGTAATAAGGACCAAGTGAATTCATCATTCTCATTTTCAGTTAACACCCCTATCTTGCTAGAAATATGCTTTTTTCAATAGTGCTGTGGGAAAGCCAGAATAGCATTCTTTAAGCCATGATAGTTTTTCATAAAACAGAGGTTGATGAAGAAGACTACAAAGAAAATGACAAAAAATTCTAGATTTGCATGCAGAGACAAAACATTTTAAAACCTAAATCTATGCAATCATCATCATTATCCTACTGTCGCAAAGGCTCCCACCTACGGTGGGGGTAAGGGGATCAGATGTACGCGGTCTTAACCCTGTACTAGAACACAAAGAATCTGTTTCCGGACGACCCATAGTCGAAAATTGAATTGACCAATTGCTGTTTCATAACAAAGAAGTGCAAACAATTTAGTGAGCTATTTTGTTTTATTCCATCATATTCTCAACCCAAAAAGTAGTGAATCTTTGGCTCCATTGCAAAATGATGAACCTCTAAATCTATGCAATGAGATGATATAAATTTATCTCTTAAATATAGTGGGTGAAATGTGGGTAACTTCACAATGTGATTTTGACAGTTAACAGATTGTTTCATTCATTTATATAATAGAATTGTTTCATTCGGGCAGGTACTACAATACTCTCGGCTATTAGAAACACCATTGATCCTAAAACAGAAGTCACTTTCAAGGAAAACCCCGATGTTGGATTCTTGAAATCAAATGACTTCTCATATGCCATTGTCGTAGTTGGAGAGAAAACATATGCCGAGGGCTACGGGGACAGCTTAAACCTGACCATCCCTGAGCCTGGACCCACAATCCTAACAAATGTGTGTGCACATGTCAAATGTGTTGTGGTTCTCATCACTGGACGGCCGGTTGTGATCCAGCCATACCTCCCACAGATTGATGCCCTTGTGGCTGCTTGGCTTCCCGGAACCGAAGGCCAAGGTGTTGCAGATGTCCTCTTTGGTGATTTTGGTTTTACTGGCAAGCTTCCGCGGACTTGGTTCAAGACAGTTGATCAACTTCCCATGAATGTTGGAGATTCACATTATGACCCACTCTTCCCTTATGGCTATGGACTTACCACAGAGCATGTAGACGCTTAAAAGGTCCATATAGTTTCCATGTATCTGTAGCCTATAGGGAGGGATATATGCAAAAGAGAGAAATAGAAAAGATTTTACCGGCCTACACTTCTATTGTCTAGCACTAGTATAATAAAGTTGAGCCTAACTCATCCCAAATAGCTCTCAAGGAGGTGGGATTATAACTTATTAGAGATTTCATCATCACGAAATTTGAATCAAGCAATAAACTATGCTAATAATGGTAACAAGATTGAAGGAGTGTTTGCATCTTCTTTTACTTTTGTGCAGTGATTTATTTTAGAGATTATACGGAAAATGCTCTGTAGTAAAATTTGGCAATATTTGAAAACAAAAGTGATTTTAAAAAGGTAATAATGTTGGATAAAAGGTATTGTTATAAAAATAAGCAAAACTAGTTTAAAGATTTCCCCTTACTTTAAGTTTTAGATTTAAAGCAGTTCATTTAGAAAAAAACATCTGTTTGAAAACACTATTATTAGTAGGGGTGGTTCGGTACGGATGTACGGTATACCGAATATTTTTTCTCATATCTTTGACGTACTAAAACATTTGGTATGCAAAATTTATATATTGTTAGTAATATTTTGGGAAAAAAACTTCCCATTTTCATTATGTTACTTGTATACATTACTGTTCTTAAATTTAGATGTTGAATGCTGGTGGGATATGATTATTGAATTTTTGGAAGTTAAATGTTTTTTTGATTCATATTTTGGATTTTACTATCGAGACAAGACTTAATCTTTTGATGTTGATGTGGTCAGAGATTCAAACGATTGTAATTTTTTGTGATGTTTTAAAAAACTTTATCTGTTGTGCTATTTAATTTTGATTTTTTTAATTTAGGTGTCAATTATAAGTAGTTAATCATCATTTTAGGATTTATACTAATTTTGAAGAAAAAAATTATCTTTTAATAAAACGGTTACCCGCGGGGAAAACCGTTACCCGTGAATAAAAAATACCCGACGGGTAACGGGGCGGTTTTGGGGGAAAATATTATCAAATGGGGCGGGTACGGGTAATGGTATACCCGACCCCGAACCGCCCCGTTGCCATCCCTAACTGAAATTCTAGTTAAAATGGCTAAATTTGATGGATTATGAAAAGTTATATTTAAAATATACGAAGTATTTTATTAATAAAATAAAGAAAGCGTTATATGAAAATAACTAAAATGGGCTTTGTATAATAACTTTACTCAATTCAATTAGAAAAATAACTTCTATCTTATTTATATTGATTATTACTAGTACAAATATCAACTCGCGGAATCAAAATTCACGTGTTTGTTAAAAAAGTTGAGTAATAAGGCATATATACACCAAAAGTTAGGGTTATCAACGGGTTAACTCTACGTTATTTCTTCACAAACTCCCCTGTGTTATTTCTTCTTCACGAAAATTGCCTCCCTCGCTCCCTTTCTTTGTGACGGCCACTGTTGAGGAAAGATATTTAATTTTTTCAAGGTTGTACTATACCACCAACAATAAGTTTTAGTAGATAAAAAAGAAGTAATTAACGTATATAACCTAGTTTTTTTTAATATAGGAGACTATATACTCGATCTTACTTTACACTTTGTGTTAAATTGTTCCCATAAATAGAGAAAATATGGGTAGTCATGAATAGTTTAGGGTTGCATTTGTTCCTTGTCCTTTTTATATCATTTTATTTTTGTAGTATGTTTCTAACATACTTTTATGTTCATTGACCATCCAAAGTTTGTCATCATTGATCAAGAAAAGTCAATATGACGAACCTTTTCAGAATGGAGGTAGTAGGTTTTAATTCGTTTTTCGGTCACATTATTACTTTTCGGAGGAACGAAGACTACACGTTAGAGTGGTCTCTTGTGAGCTGTTTTCACATGCAATGAGATGAAGCCATAATGATAGGATACTTCAATTCAACCGAAAGCTTTTCTTTGATGCGTAATGGTTTACATATATATCATCTCACTCACCCATTTGGGCATCATGTGTACAAGTTTTATTTGTATTTTGAGTAAACTTTAAGTGGACGGAATGATGGACTTGATGGTTGAAGAATGAAGTAAAGTGCACTTTAATTTCAGTAGACCCACTTACCCACCTTCAACCCCTTTATTGTAATAACAAGCCAAGCAAGAGAACACCGTTTCAACAACCTTAGCTTTTACACTCCTAAGTACAAAACCTAGCTTTGCTAGCATGTACACATAACTTAATAATCCGAAATAATGACTTAAATAAGACTAAAACATGGTAAAAACAAGAGCACGGCTTTTCGGCGTCATGTACTCGGAGTGAAAGTGAGATGAATGTAAGAAACTAAAAGTAACCATTTCCAAAGAAATAATACGTAGTAGATTTACGTTCGACTCAACTGTACTGTTATTCCCTAAAAGAACTCAAAGAAGAATGTCATCATTAGAACATTATAATTTCATTATCGATTCATAATGTCACCATCAAATGATAATGTCATCTGATCGGCATTTTGTTGAGACATTGACTCAAGAAATGTCAAAAACATACTCCATAAAAGTGAAAAGATTATTTTCTTTGACAAAAATGTCATCTTGGCAATATGAAATATACTCGGTAGGTAATTTTTTTGTTAATCTTTAGAGTAAATTAAATGAGGTTGCTAACTAGCTTGTAGCTATATATTGTGACAACAGTACTTATAGTACGTACGTAGAGGAAGAATTGTTATTCTTATTTTTATTACTTCCTATAGCAATAACAAATAAATCCCCATCTAGACGCTCCATGGCAAAAACATACGCATTACTTTCAACATCTCTTCCCATTGTTCCTGTGACAAGAAACCTTTCTTCAAGACTATGGGATATTAGGGGCTTGTTCTACTCCCTCGGAGCCTTCCTCGTTGCCGCTCTCGTATTCGGAGTTGTTTACCTCACCGGGGAGGCCAAAGATTTCTTGTTTAGCGGCAGCAGCCCGGAAAGGCTCACCGCCGACGACCCGCCACCGTCAAAGTGTGATTTGTATTCGGGAAAATGGGTATATGACAACAAGTCACACTACCCATTGTACAAGGAGCAAGAATGCACCTTCATGTCCGATCAATTGGCTTGCCAAAAGTTTGGAAGAAAAGATTTGGACTATCAACATTTGAGGTGGCAACCCTATCAATGCGATATTCCAAGGTTCGACTTAGTTATTACTCATATATACAGTCAATTAGTTATACATAGTATCATTTAAGAGATTTGCTAATGGTGCCTATAACTAATAATTATATTCACATAAAAAAAATTCATTAAATGTACCATTATATTTTGGCAAAAAGAACATTGGAAAAGCCGGTTTTTGCATGAGATTTTCAGCCAAAAATAGAATTTTCAAGTAGGACTTCAATATGTACAATTTCTCTTACTCTGTTACTCCTATCCATTTCATTTTTCTCATATGTACAATCTTCCTCACGTCGTACTTTTATTTATTTCTTTTTTTAAAAGGATTATGTGGTTAGAAACATATTGTGCCCCCTTACCTAAACAAATTTAAACTGCAAAAGTTTACTATCTTAAAAGGATGAATCGTCATAGGCCTCCACACTGACCAAACAGTTAACTGGGAGGATGCAAATTGAGGAAGTTTTAAGTTTTCGATAGAACTGAATAAGTCTTATTTTAAGAACAAAACATAACTACCACTTCGTTTTTGTCTATGTTTTACTTCTATTTAGATCAACACTTTTTTATTTTATTGTTTTGTATGTGTTTAATACGCGGAGTAATTATGAATTTGAAATTATCGGTTTTGGTTTTGTGTGTAGTGATCGATTTGAGGTGGGTGAAGTGAATGTATTGATGTTGATATATATTAGTGCATATGCATTATCTAAGGTAGGTTCAATGCCATAGCATTGCTTGAGAAACTAAGGAATAAGAGGCTTGTGTTTGTTGGGGATTCTTTGAATAGAGGACAATGGGTTTCCATGGTATGTCTTGTTGATTCTGCCATCCCACCATCCCTCAAATCCATGCACTACAAGTACAATGCCTCCTTGATCATTTTCAAAGCTATAGTAAGTTGCACATAATTTTACTTTTGGTTAATTTCATTAATTAGCGGAAAACAATTTTTTATTTTTAATGCCTGAATAATGAACTAGCCTTATGCTGTTAGCGGTTAGCGGTTTGCATTAAAAATGTTTTTAATTAGACTGTAATTTTCTGGTTGAGTCTGATTTAGTTTGGTTTATATTCTGTTTTGGTTTTATCTGATTTGGTCTAGATTAGATGTCTATTCTGTGTATTTTATAACTTTCAAAATTTGGTCTGATTCAGCCTTGTGTGACCTGGCTTGATCTATTTAAAACTAGTCTGATCTAATTTGATGTGGTAAAGAATAAAAAAAATTGCACAACTTTTTGTACTCATATCATATAGAAATGAACTTGTCCGTTCTGGATTGCCCCTATGCAATTCTTTCAAAATGTACGATCGTAAGCTTGATCGTAAGTTTGTAAATTCAAGGGGAATTTTGAGTTTGTACTATACGTTTTGAGTGATATTGGATTTTGCATTCTATTTTCAAAAATTTTAGACTTTGCAATCTATCGTACAACAAATTTTGAAGAAAAGTTCCTGAATAGAGTGCAAAGACAAAGACTTTTAGGGGAAATAGGGTGCAAAATTCAATATCACCCAAAAAACGGGGTGCAAAGTTAAAATATCCCATCATTTAATTTCCATATACCTATCAAACACATGCTTTTATTATGGAAATAATATTTAATTTCTTTAGAATTACTATATACGAAGTATACTTCATACTACCAGTATATTACGGGGTTTCTTCAAAATTATTATTAAAACAAAACTTATTCACACAAATATAATTATCCTAATAGTTACTACGAAATACAATGTAATGTTATGGTAACTTATGTTTAAAAAATAAACATGAGTTACTATGATTCTATTACTACTATAGTACTCATCGGTGACATTTTTGTAAATAATCTTTATTTTAGTCGTATATATGTAATTAATTCATACTCCATATACTACTCAACTTCTAATTATGTGCTTGCATGTAGGAATATAATGCAACAATTGAGTTCTACTGGTCACCATTGCTTGTAGAGTCCAACTCCGACGATCCGGTACATCACCGCCTGCCGGAGCGGATTGTGAGAGCCAATTCAATCGTAAAGCACGGCCGGAGGTGGACAAATGGTGATTTTCTTGTCTTCAATACTTACCTCTGGTGGAGGCAACCCCATATCAAAGTCTTGTAAGTAAATAAAGAATGATCAGTTTTTGAAATGCTTGTTTAACTGGAATTGTTATTAGGAAATGAAATTAGTCCAGCCCAATTAATCTAAATTCTTTCATCCATACTGAATATCTAAAATCCCATAACTCATCGGTCATCACCTTCTTAAACACCATTATTCTCTAATTTTCTCTCTTCTTCACACTAGTGGAAAAACGTGAAAGGGAAGCGTTTTTAAGCAGAAACGCCTCTAATTCCACTAGGGTCATAAGAATTTGAAGGAATTCTTCAACCTTTTCTTCATGCTGGTATACTCTGTTTTTGGGTAACCGATTTTTTTTATTCTATCATTGAAACAAATACTTCATTGGATATTTTTGTTAACAACTACAACCACTGTACGGAGTATTAAATAAACGATTGGGAGTATAAAAAGTGATTCTTTGAATAAAAATATTTGTTTTGCATGTTCAATAGTATAAAAAACGATTATACAGAGTGTCCGCATGCTCAGGGGCCTAGGCCCCACCTCAAAACAAAAAAAAAGAAATTACTAGTATATATATATATACACTACATATTATATATGTACTGGGAAGAAATTGTATAATTAGAAGAAACGTCCTATTGTAAACAAAAGTTACGTTGGTGTGATGGTAGTGATGTGATTGACAGTGTAGAGGTTATGTGTTTGATTCCTAGCTGGAGCAGCATTTTTTTTTTTGTATTTTCCATCCAAGTCTAGGAACATGCTATCTTACACAAATCAAGTCTGAATTTTAACTTTTGAATACTAGGATGCAAATATTAAGTAGTCCAACTAATTGGGCTTTATTAGTCTGAAAAACCAATTAGTTCAATTGATTGAGCTTTTTGAATATTGTCCTAAAAATTAATTAGTTTAATTCATTGGGCTTTTGAATATTGACCGAAAAATTAATTAGTTGAATACATTGGATTTCGTAGGTGAAAATAAGTTTTCTTTACATAGAGTATAGATTTTAAAGTAAAAAAATCGATTTATCTTGTTTCCGAGAAACTAACCTAAAAATTGGCACTAAACATTTGGGTAACCGATAAAACTTCGGTTCGATATCTATGACTTTTAAGATAATTGTATTGTCGGTTCTGTAATATTCAATTTATTCTTTGACATTTCTATGATTTACATTTTGACTTCTAAGATATTATTATACTGTACTACATTTTGACATTTTTTTTATAATATACGTTATTTAATTAAATTTTGGTCCCACCTGAAGATATTTGTTGTTTCATTGGGATTTCCCCTGTTTTTCATTGCCATGGTGTTGTTCAGATTTTTGTTGTTGAATGGGTTAAAGAGATTGGTTGTAGATGTAGAAAATTGGTTTTCGCGCATCCTTGTATACTTATTTTTAATATTTATACACGGATGCTTAAAAAGTATGTTCCATATTTTTATATTTTTCCCGGAAAAATGTTTGTCAATTGGTGGGATGTTCGGACCTGATTCTGCTTATGCTTCTTTTTTAAAAACAGAAACAGAATCAGTTTTTAGAAACTGGTCACCCATATCTTTTAAAAAAACTGATTCTAAGAGCAAATTAGAGTACCAGAATAACTTCTGCACTTTTACCCAAACACTCCAACTTCTGCTTCTACTTTCTGAAGAAGCAGAAGTAGTTTTAAGAATCAGATCCAAACACCCCCTGAGGCTGCTAAAACGAGGCTGTTTTTTTTGCTACATTTGCTATTGATTTTATCATTTTAAGGTTGATTTGTGGTAAAAATGTTCTTACCCTCTCGTATTTTCCTTTAAATTGAAATTAGCTATGTGCATACATTCAATTTTTTAATTAATTAGAAATGTTTGATCATACCCTTACATGTAATTTTATAATTTCAACTACTTGCAACAGTTAGTTTTGCCAAACAAGACTATTTAAAACAGGCAGCTTTCATGGAACAACTACGATCCAAACTTTTCAACTCAAAAAAGCTTTTACCTCCGTCCAAGAACTAAACTTTCATTTTGAATTTGCACGCGGATTAAGAAAGTGAGAAATATGTGAGCTTAAATTGTGCAAAGGAGAGGTAAAGTGGGGACAAATGATTTGAAGCACAAATTATTTGCCAGAATGAAAAATAAAAATTTATATTGAGAAAGAATGAAAATAATTTTGGTACGGAGGAAGGAAAATCGTAAAATACTTACTGAGTGATGACGTTTAAAGAAAACGAACTTAAACTGAAAAAGTTTAGCGCGCGGAATTTAGGGATTAGACGAACAAATAATGACGAATATACGATTATAATAAAAGTAGTAGACAAAAATGTGACTTTATATAATTTAGTAACCTTAATAATATACGGAGTATAATTACTGATTATCATATTCAAATTCACACTAAAGTGGTTATATTTATACTGAAGTGACTACATTTATGTCATACGGAGTAAGTTTTATTTTGAAAGAAACTTAAAGGGAAAACTATCAAATAAGTCCATGTACTATACTGAAAAAGTCGATTAGGCCCCCGTACTTTACAAACACTCAATTAAGTTCTCGAACTATTAAAAAACGTTCAATTAAACCCTTTTGGTGGGTAAGTAACCGATTTCCCGGTTAAATGACGACGATGGCGACGATGTGCTCGAACCCCAGCAATGGCGGCTTCCGGGAAACAGGTTACATTTAACCGGGAAACCGGTTACTTACCGACCAAAAGGGCTTAATTGAACGTTTTTTAATAGTTCGAGGTCTTAATTGAGTGTTTGTAAAGTACGAGGGCCTAATCGACTTTTTCGGTATAGTACGAGGGCTTATTTGATAGTTTTCCCAAACTTAAATCAAACATTAAGCTTGTGAACTATTGGGGGTTGCAGATGGGCTCCACTTGATGAAAGTAGAGATGGAGTCTACAAAAATGTGGACATGGTTCGCAGTTATGAGATGGCCTTGAAAACATGGTCCGATTGGCTTGAAATACACATCAACCGATCTAAAACCCAAATCTTTTTTATTAGCATGTCACCCATCCATGAAAGGTACACACATTAGTCTACCTAAACTTAATCATAAATCATATTTTTGCAAATACTTTCCTCGAACTCAATTAAATTCTCAAACTTTAAAAAAATGTTCAATTGAGCTAATTAACGTCTTATACGCCCAGTCAGCAAGTTACCTGCAGATGCGGTGCCCCACGTGTGATCCACGTCAGCATTTAACCACTGGTTGGTCTACTAAGCCGTCACATGTGTCCCATGTTAGCAGACAAACTGTTGACTGGGCTGGTAACATGCTAATTGGACCGATTGAATAATTTTCCAAAGATCGGGAATTTGATCGAGTGTTTTTCAAGTACGAGAATGTAATTGACATTTTCGTGATAGTATGTATACATATCTGATATTTTTTCCTATTATATTTGATGTGTCTTTTTTGTTAAAAATGGGCACCACTGAAATGTTATATTTGATGCGTCTTTTTGCGTTTATTAGATTTTGGCCAAGAGTTAGTGATGATAGATTGATAGTAGATCTGCCAAAGTTCAAGATAGATGTGCTATATATGTTGAAATGTTCAAATCAATATATTTCTCATCAAAACTAGAAAAATAAGAGGCAACTTTGATTATGTGCAATAAATTTTGAAATGCTCAAAAGTAACATTGCAGGGCAGAAGAATGGGGTAAAAAGGTAGGGGATAATTGCTATGGGGAGACAGAGCCCATAGAGAATGAGGGATATCAAGGAAATGGATCAGATCCCAAAATGATGAGATTAGTTGAAGCAACCATTGAAGAGCTGAAAAACAGAGGGTTAAATGTGGGATTGATTAACATAACTCAACTATCAGAGTATAGGAAAGAAGGACATCCATCAATATATAGAAAACAATGGGATTCTTTGACAGAAGAACAAATAGAAAAGCCAATATCATATGCAGATTGTATTCATTGGTGCCTTCCAGGAGTGCCAGATGTGTGGAATGAGCTCCTCTATGCTCAAATACTCAACCACATCTTATGATTAACAACTTTCATATTCTTATTAAGATAGGTAAAATGTTAAACATTAAATGGAAATTCATGCAAATTTGTAAATTTCAATTATCTATGTCTTTCCAACTCTGATTCCGCAAGTTTATATATAACACTGTTCTAGAAATCACTTTAGACGCCCGACTAGTCCCCGACTAGGCTAGGAGGTGGCTGAGTGCCCTGATTTTAGTTTAGGCGTCCAACTAATTAGTTTGGCGTCTAGGTGAACTAGACGGGTGCCTAGGTAAACGAACTAATTGCCCGTCTAGTTGCCCGTTCAGAACGCTTAATCGGTCGCTGATGAAGACGGGTTTAATCACCGACAAAGTAAACGGGCTAGGAAGAGTTCAACGACGCTTCAAGACTATGTGGTAAATTAGAAGTCGAAGTGCTGCCAGATTATTTTTAAACTTTCTGTTTCCGTATTAATATTTATTTAGCTAGTAGAGTTGGAGTATAGTGTTTATTCCTAGCGAGTAGGATTAGTATTTGTTTTGGATTCATATGCCTATGTTATTACGTATGTTTAGGGGTATAAATACATGCCTCTTCTTTATCAATAAAGATTATTGAGAGCTTTTTAATTAAATTTGGCTATAAATAAGGAGTTCCAAAGCTACCAACCATTGCTAGCGATGTGTGCGTTTAGCAACATTGTTTAAATTTATGAAGAGTAATAGATAAGATATAAATAAGTAATTATAACCACTATTTTGTATACATTGAAACATTTAGTCATTTAGAAATTGCCGAATGATGGAGTATATGGGTCTGAGCCCCCGGACCCACATACTCGGAAGAACAGAAAGCACAAGACAACAGAGGGGCGCCCTCGTCGGCCAAGACGCCCCCGTCGGCCGAAAAGGGGCCAACTCGGATTACGGTCCTGAGTCTAAGGAACCCGGGTGCCCTCGTCGGCCGTGCCCTCGTCGGCCGTGCTCCCGTCGGCCACGCCCTCGTCGGCCACAAAGACCTCCCAGAATCGGATTTTATTCACACTCATTTCTGCAGCCCATTAGTGGCTTTGTATTCGGCCCAGTAGCGGTCTAGTTGTAAATGGGCCTCCCAAGCCCAAGGCTTGGGAGCCCAACCCTAATTTTCTCTATAAATACTCCCTTTGGGAGTAGTTATGGGGGTTACAAATTCATTCTATTGAAGCATATTATTGCACTTCTCTCTCTAGCTCTCACTTCTCTCTAGATATACTCTATCATTTGGTGCTCTCGTTGAGAGCTAGAACAACAAAGTTAGCACCCTTCGTCGCTACCAAGCACAGCTAACCACTGATCATGGGGAGAACTAAGTCAAACCGCAACCTCGTCAGCAAAGCCATCCCTGAGAACCAAGAGCCCAGGGAGCATGATGAGGACGCCACGGCCGACCAGGCCGGCGGAGGGGACCTCTTCCAGGAGGCCTTCAACCTCACAACGGACCTCCGCAACCAACTCAACGGCGGAGCCCCTGATGCCCGCCTCGGCTTGGACAAGAAGCGAGCTGAGAAGACGGATCACGCCCCGGCCCAGCCTATGGCCGCGGCCTCCCCGTCCGTGGATCCCCAGGTCCAGGCCGCGCTGTCGGCCATCATCGCCAGCCTAGCTCAGAACCCCACCGTCCTCAGCGCACTCTTGCCAAGGACCGGGGGGAACGTTACTCAACCTCCTCAGCCCCAACCGTTGGCCGTCCAGATAGGCAACGACGAGGGGGTGGTGCCCCAGGACACGGCGTCGTCCCACTCCCACCCTGCTTCCCCTCTTCGGCCTAGGCAGACCCCAGCGCGTGGAAAAGCCTCTGCCTTCAATAGGCTAGGCGACACGCGCCGTCGTCCGGTTTCAGAGAGGATGGCAGGACGGATTGGTGATCGTCGTCCTGGCTCGCCGAGGGAAAGCTTGGGGTCTGTGTCCCGGACAGCGGACCAGCCCCACCCAGACAAGGGCAAGGGAAAGTTGCACGAGGATGACGTGCGTCACCAGATCAACGCGGCTCACAACGAACGCGTGAGGAACCAGCTGGGCGCCGCTCCGGCCGCCAGGGACCCCCGGGACGAGGTCATCGCCCAGCTGGAAAGGAGGCTGGCCCAGATGGAGGCCAAGCAGTCGGCCAACATCCCTACGGCCGGCGCCTCCAACGACCCTGGCCTCAACGCGCTCATGAACAAGGTTAACGCCCTGGAGAGGGAGCTGGCCGAAGGGCGAGGTGACCCCATCATCCAGGTCAGGACCAGGACCCCTTTCACCAACAGGGTCCTCTCGGCCCCCATCCCGGAGAAGTACAGGGGGAACGCCATCAAGTCCTACGATGGCCGATCAGACCCCCAGGAACACTTCAGCCGTTACCAGAACAACATGTTGATGGTGAACGCGTCCGACGAATACCTCTGCCGTTGGTTCCTCTCTACTCTCGAGGGGCCCGCGTACGAGTGGTTCAACGCGCTCCCCGAAGGGAGCATCGACTCATGGCAGGATCTCGCCCAACGCTTCCTCACTCACTTTGCCGGGAGGAAGCGCGCGAAGAAGTATTTCACCCACCTCCTCTCCGTCAAGCAGCAGCACGAGGAGTCCCTCCGGTCATTCATTGATCGGTGGACGAGGGAGACCGAGGAGGTCGAGGGGGCCGATGAGCGCACCCTCCTCGCCTTGTACCAGGGAGCCCTCCGCAGCTCCACGTACGCTAGGAGCCTCATCACCGACCCCCCGAGGTCGTACGCCAAGGCGCTCCAGCGCGGAGGCTTGTATGCCGACGCCGACGAGCTCCACAATCACAAGAGAGAGGGGGGCCATCCCCCCAAGAAGACAAATCCTTCGCCGGCCCCGGGTCCGTCCCCGGCCGGCCAGGGTGCCCAGGGCCGCCACGGCTCTGGTGGACAGAGTAAGAAAGATCGCCACTGGCGGCCGAGGTTGGAACGGCCGGGGGTAACCCTCACCCACCCGGTCGGCACCATCCTCGATTATGCTGAGAAGCACGGCCTCATCGAGCAGGCTCCTCGGCCGCCGAGGAGATCCTTGCCATCCAGCAGGGCGGCACATACTGCCGGTTCCACAAGAACTCGTCGCATAACACTGACGATTGCATCACATTAAAGAAGGCCATCGAGCGCCTTATTCGCCAGGGGGAACTCTCCCAGTTTGTCAAAGGTGGCCCACGCAAGAACACTTGGGTAAACACCGGCAAACATGGGGGCGAACCCTCTGCGAAGAAGCGGGAAATTGGTAGGCTCAGCAACGACGAGGATTTTGAAGAGCCCCCGCCAAAGAAGAATCACATCCACCTCATCGTAGGTGGGAACACTGGGGGGGACTCCGCCACTCAGAGAAAAAAATGGGCTCAATCCCTTTACATTGGGGAGGTGTCCCACGTCCCCCCTCAGCCGAAGAAGCAACGGACGGAGGCGATCACCTTCACCGACAAGGATCTGCCTCCGGGTACGGAATCACACAGGGACGCACTCGTCATCCGATGTGAGATCGGTGACTCCATCATCCACCGTACTTACATCGATACGGGGAGCTCCGTCAACGTGATGTACCTGGACACATTCAAGCAGCTGAAGCTGGACAGATCTCTGCTGAAGCCGATCAAGACACCGTTATCCGGCTTCACCGGGGACTCTATCGACGCCGAGGGCACGATAGTCCTCCCCGTGGAGGTCGGTGACGGCCCCCACCACGCCAAAATTGACATGGAATTCATGGTGGTCAACCTCCAGTGCGCCCACAATCTGATCTTGGGCCGGCCAGCGCTGGAGGACTTGGAGGCCATCATCTCCATGAAGCACTTGTGCCTGAAGTTCCCAACCAGCGACGGCATCGGCTACGCCAGAGGAAACCAGAGGATAGCCAGGGCATGCTACCTCAAACTGACGAGGCCGGCCGAGAGGGAAGGCCAGAGGATAGACACCATCACAGCCGCCGTCGCCATGGACGAAGAAAGGCCACATGCGGAGCCGGCCGAGGAGGTCGAGGAAATCCCTCTGGATACCTCCCGGCCGGAGCGGGTTCTCAGAATTGGGAAACAACTCCCCCAGGACCAACGAGACGCCATCCTCCTCGTCCTGCGGTCATACGCCGTAGTCTTCGCGTGGGGCCCGGACGATATGCCAGGCATCAGCCGCCAGGTGATCACTCACCGGCTGACCGTCGATCCGGCCTCCGCGCCAGTCAAATAGAAGCGGCGCTACTTGTCCGCCGACAGGAGGGACTTCGTCAAAGGAGAGGTCGCCATGCTCCTCTCAATCAAACACATCAAAGAGGTGAAGTACCCGACATGGTTGGCCAATGTCGTCCTCGCCCAGAAACCGCCGACGTTCAGAATGTGTGTTGACTACACTGACCTGAACAAGGCATGCCCCATGGACCCGTTCCCTCTCCCCAACATTGATCAGCTGGTGGACGAGACGGCGGGGTGCGAGTTGATGTCGTTCCTCGACGCTTTCAGAGGGTACCACCAGATCTCCATGCATGAAGATGACGCTGAGAAGACGACATTCATGATCCCAGAGGGAATCTTTTGCTACCTCGTCATGGCCTTCGGACTCAAAAACTCCGGCGCCACCTACACTAGGATGGTGGCCAAGATCTTCAGAGCGGTCCTTGGCCGGACGATGGAGGCGTACGTCGATGACATGATCGTCAAGAGCAGGCAGGCATCCTCCCACGCCGACGACCTCCGGGAAATCTTTGAAATCATGAAGGAGTTCAGGCTCCGGCTCAACCCCGAGAAGTGCGCCTTCGGCGTCCAGGGTGGCAAGTTCCTCGGCTACATGGTAAGCCGAAGAGGCATCGAGATAAACCCGGAGAAGACGCAGGCTATCATCAACATGGAGCCACCCCGTAACGTCAAGGAAGTACAACGACTAACGGGGCGCCTAGCGGCCCTGAACCGGTTCCTCTCCAGGTCAGCCGAAAGGGCTCTCCCCTTCTTCCAGATCATGCGTAAAGCCAACAGCTTCAAGTGGACGACGGAGTGCCAGGAAGCCTTCGACGAATTAAAAAGGTACCTGTCGTCCCCACCCGTGCTCTCCAAGCCCAAAGCCGGCGAAACCCTCTTCTTATACTTAGGGGTGAGCACGTCGGCCATCAGCTCCGTGCTCATCCGTGAGGACGAAGGGGTGCAGAAGGCCATCTTCTACATCAGCAAGACACTCAGGGAAGCCGAGCTCAGGTACTCCCCCATTGAGAAGACGGTGCTGGCCATCGTCCACACGGTGAAGAAGCTGGGGCACTATTTCCAGGCCCACACCGTCCATGTGCTGACCCAGCAGCTTCTCGGCGCACTTATGAGGAGCCCCACCAGCTCCTCGAGGATGGTGAAATGGGCGATCTTCCTCAGCCAGTTTCAGATCGAGATCAAGCCAAGGCCATCCATCAAAGGGCAAGCCTTGGCCGACTTCGTCATTGAATGCACAGCAAGGGAGACGGCCGTCGCCAACCCCGGGCCGGAGCCGGAAGATACGTGGACCCTGTTCACTGACGGCTCGTCGGCCGCGAAATCATGCGGCGGCGGCGGCGTCCTCATATCCCCTGAAGGATTCAGAGCTTACTATGCCATCCGCTTCAACTTCAGGGTATCCAACAACGAAGCCAAGTATGAGGC